TTACTTATAAATACAAACATCATATAGGAAAGGATAAGTGGAAAGCAACTCAATCTGAGAAATTCACCTCAAAGATGGTAACTAGTGCAGAGGGGCTGTGCTGGACTTCTGTGGACCAGGTAGGGAACTAGAGTATAGCATAAGAAACTGAAACATTGCAGGGAAAAAATGAGACACAAAGCATTAATGAACAAACTTCTAGGGAGCAAAAGTGAAATGAATTCATCAAAGACTCTTTCAATCTAGGCCATATATTAAACTAATCCCTTTCCAACCAGGAAACACGATCATCCTCTATTTAGCTGATTTCTTATCTGACCCTTCTCTTGCTCAGAAACAATAAATCCTGCCCTAAGGAATCAGATTCTCTACTAAGCAAATCCCCAGGCTGGCTGAGTTGGGTCACTTGAGTCACAGTGGTGTTAATCAACATAATGAATTTGCAAAACCCCAATTTCTTTAAAAGTAGACTGTATTATTATTTGTTTATCTATACACACAAACTAGACCCGAGAGTATTTTGGCATGTACTTCAAAGAAATAAAAATCCTTCACTAGAATAGGTCAGAATGAAGACTTGAGTGCACAGTTATTAACTTCCTATCCTTCTTTTTTGAACCTTCATATTATTATCTTTAACAGACTTGACCTTTGGAAAATGAATTTTCTTAAGCCTATTATTTCAATCTCTTTTTTTAATTTTGCTTTCCAACAGGTAGTTGGCAAGGAGTAGCCAAAAATATCTCTACAAATTTAAGGAAGACAACAAACCTAGCAGAATGCAGCAAAATAACAAAACTTAGCAAGATTAAATGCTGTTAAAATCAACTTAGGAATTCCAAAGACAAGTTTTGGACTTGGCCGTCAACTACTTGGAGATATTAATGATGTCCTCAGAGCTGAACAGGGACCCTGGAAGCACAAAATCTTTAATGATGACTAATCACGTTCTTTCACTTCCCTTTCTAAAGCTATAAGATTTGGATTTTTGTAGATTTCAGAGGTTATCTCCATGGAATACCACTGCAAACATACTATTAATTATGTAAAGGTGAAATGACTTTGAAAGGGAGCTTTGCCCTCAGAATTCTTCAGCTTCTGCCCTAAAGGATGAATCCAGGTTCTTGCCAGACCACTGACTGATAACAGCTGTCACAATGATTTCCTTAAAACACACTCAGAAATCCAGTCACTGTCACAAGGGGAAATTATTACCTCTTTCATAAATTTTAGGCCCAAATTAGGCTATTAAACAGTTTTCAGCATACCAATTTTTTTTTTCTTAGTTTACTGTAGAAATGAATCTTCTAAACCAGAAACTTACATGAGGAGGAAAGAAGATTTTAAATATCCTACTATGAGGGAGTCCCTAGTGGCTCAGATGGTAAAGAGTCTGCCTGCAATGTGGGAAACTGGGTTCGATCTCTGGGTTGGGAAGGTCCCCTGGAGAAGGAAATGGCAACCCACTCCTGGAAAATCCCATGGACTGAGGAGACTATCATGATACAGTCTATATGATCTTATAAATAAATCAGTTTTAAACTTTATGTAGCTAAAGTTATACATTTTGGGGGTACCTGACTCTTTGAGACCCCATGGACTATAGCCTACCAGGCTCCTCCCTCCATGGGATTCTCCAGGCAAGAATACTGGAGTGGGTTGCCATTTTCTTCTCCAGGGGATCTTCCCGACTCAGGGTTCGAACCCGGGTCTCCTGCACTGCAGGCAGACGCTTTAACCTCTGAGCCACCAGGGAAGCCCAATTTCTAACACCGAAGAGGGATCATTAGAAAGGCCCTCCTTACCTAACTTTCTAAAAATGTTCACTCATATTATAAAGGCTCTTACAGTTTTATTTTTTACGTTTAATCAGAATTTGCTTTGGTATAAGGAGCAAGGTAGGGATCCAGAGCTTAATTTTTCCCTGCAACACCTATTGTGGTCATCTCAGTTATCTCAACATCACTTATTAAATGGGCTATTTTTTTACCCTGTAATTTGAAATCCATTCCTCTTCCTAGCTTCCTTTTTCATTCAAATTTTTAAATTAATAAATTCAAGGCTGTAATCATCAGCAGGCTGTGAGACTGCCCATCATGGCAGAGGAAGAATAACATTATGCTCATAATACCATTTTATAATCATAACCTGCAAGTGCCCTTAAGTAGAAATTGTACTTCTTGGCTCAGTACTATGAAAAAGAAAACCATGGCATCAACTAGATGAAAAACAAAAGATGTATGCTTGACAGGTATTCCAGTTCTCTTTAAGCAACACTGAATAATCCTAATCATAAGACTCAACTACTTAGGGTTGTTCTGTGGAGCTAATTCTTCCTCATGGGTCTACACAACATAGGCCTGCCCCGTATGAGATGATCTACAGATACCATCCTGAGCCTCCTTGGTGATGGAGGAAGATCACTGGGAAGAGCTGCTTTTTACACTGTTGATGCTCAAATAAATTTTCTTATGCTTTCTGGATTGGAATTCTGTGTATCCACTGAAAATTTGTGCAAGGGCTTGAGATGATTCAAAGCTCCACTTCTGAGAAAAATGGTGGTTCTGTCAAAGGCATCCTGACAGACCCCAGGTAATAGGAGTAGAATGAGCCTATGCCTGGGAACCAATACCAGCGGGACTGCTAAATGCTCACATGTAGAAGCAAGCCCTGCTACCTGTCCTCCTGGCATTTTAAGTACATGGGTGTCTCTAATCAGCAGCTAAGGGTCTTAATATTATTTATACTTCTTTAAAGTCAACCCAGACTTGACTGCAAAGTTAGTACCTGCCACCCGAAAACACCTTCCAAGCCACAGGTGAGAGAGCCTACATTGTGCAATGTCATGTACGCGCAGTCATGTCTGACTCTCTTCGACCCTGTGGACTGTAGCTCACCAGGCTCCTCTGTCCATGGGATTTTCCAGGCGAGAATGCTAGAGTGGGTTGCCATTTCCTCCTCCAGGGGATTTTCCCAACCTAGGGATCAAACCCATGTTTCTTGCATCTCCTATATCAGTGGGTGGATCCTTTATAACTGTGCCACTTGGGAAGCCTTGTGAAATGTCATAAAGAAGTGATTTATTCTTCTAAATATTATTAGGAAGTTAATAATTACCTTAGCCCTGCCTTTTCTGTGTGAAGATTTAATGGTACACAGAGTCAAGATCACAAACATTCATATCAAGTACCACTTATGTCTTTTGGAAAACTGTAGCTGAAGACACAGCCTGTCATATTACCCATCTCACATAAAGGGGCCGCAGACCTTTATTTATAGATTTATTTATAGATCATCTCATGTATCTAGTGCATTTAAATCCTCTGTGTGCCGTAGTGTCACTCTACTTGAAAATATTCCCTGTATTTTAACATCACGAATTCCTTTAAGTCACTTTTGAAGCCTAGAGGATGTATGTGCCAGAAATGGAGGCACTTTAATGGTCTTATTCACCACTATATTCCCAGTTGCTAGAAGAATGTCTGCCCTGTGGTCTGTGGTAGTCAATGCACTGAACAACCAACCAGAAAATAAATGATTCAAGAAATATGCACATACATACCAAAGCACAAACAAAAATTACCTGGTGTCTTGTGCATGGACACTCATTTTACCAGCAATAATCCAAATGTCAAGAAAGTCTGTGTCCTCACCTTCCTTCGCTCAGTGTATCTTCACTGCACATCGGCCACAGGCCGGAACCCCTCTGACTCAGCTGTTGCTCCTGAAAGGCTCCTAAACCTACCCTGGTGAGTTGAGGGGTCATCAGACAACCGTTTGACAGTGTAATGAGGACAATGGTAAGAGATTCCTGCAGATACCTGGGGAACTCATGGGCGGGCACATCGTCAGCTGGCAACACAGAGAGTAGGAACTAGGGTGAGGGGACTGTTTTCCCAAAGGTTCTGGCCCAGGTGAGCCTCTGCAGATGAGGAGGAGCCAACTATTGGGAGACAGGGGAAGCATGGTTGCAGGAATGTCAAGTGGAACTGGGGGAACCAGCAGGCAGGAAGTGACTGGGGCATTAAGTAGAGGACTGGAAATGGGATGATGTGAGGCATAAGGGAGGAGGCAGCCCGACATACCTGAAAGCCTGCCATTTCCACTGTTGGCAATGGGAAGCTTTTCCACGGGTTGAAGTCAGGCAGGGGCCTGGTAAGATCTGCACATTAGATAGGTCACCCTAATGGCTAACTGGAAAATGGACTAAAGGCAGAGAAGGCCCAGGTGGGCAGGACTAGTGAGTCCAGGTAAGAGCTGACAAGAGCCTGGAAGAGCATGTGGTTACAGAAATGGAAAAATGCAAAGGAGAAAGATTTTGGAGAAGATCATATACTTTAGTGCTTGATTTCATAGTTACGAGTGCTTCTGTTCTGTATTTCATTATTACTAGTATTCTCTGATAATTCCTAAGGATCTCCTGTTAGGTGAATTTTCTTTTTATTGCCTACTACACTGTATTCCCCCCACCCCCAAATGTTTAAATGTTGGCATGCCAATTCTTGCAGCAAAAAATAGAGAGAAACAACCACTGAAGTTGTCATGACAAAGAACAGCCACTGACTTCTCCCTTGCTTCATGAGAACAGCAAACAAGACAAATGGAAAGGTGACCTTGCAAAATTTACTTCTGGGGTATACAGATAAGAAAGCAAGTATTGGGAATATTTTAAAAATATTATATATTAAAATATTAAAAACCTTATTTATAAGGTTTATCTAATCCTATCACAGCCATGGATAGAATTTCAAGGTCACCCTATAGACTTGGCCAAATACCCTTATTTCAATTAAGTTTAAAAAAAAAATCTTTAAAATACATATCAAAATATGACAGAACCTAGAGATACTACTCTCAAAAATGCACTCTCCCTGCCAGCAATCATCCAAAAGAGTATCTTTGCAGTCCATTTTTTCTCTTTTCCAGAGTGAGGGTAAGACTGTGAGTTAGTACTTCCACCCTGTTTTTCACAACTGCCCCCAACCTCTGACTGATGTTACCTTATGCACAATGAGCTCGTGCGTGCCATCTGGAAGTGTCCTACCATCTTCCTGCATCAGGGGAACAAAGGAGAAGCCAAACAACTTCTTCTCTCCTTTCTCCTTTGCTGTAGAAGGAAAAAAAAGGATCAGTCAGTTATTTCACTGTATGCTTACACAACTTGTGTTCAGACACACAGACTGTGGAGATGAGTGATCATGAAGAAATAGAACCCCCACCCCCACCCCCGCTCCCTTTGCACAATGAAGAGCAGCTCTTATGATGGGACTTCTGTCTACAGTGGCCACCCTTTAGCCCCATAGTCCTGCCTTATAACTGTAAGTTATTTTCCTTGACTAATTTTCTTCAAGGGATTCACTATTTGAAATTACGTGTTTTGTTTGTTTTTTGAAGTTGTAGATTTCCCATTTCTTCTCCTCACAACCCAACCTCCACCCCTTAACATAAGCACCATGCAGGGCAAGATTCTTGTCTGCTTTATTTTACTCTATGCTTGGTATCTCAAAGAATGCCAAGAACATAGTAGGTTCCCATCAAATGTATGGAACACAAATGAATGAGTGAATGAATGAACTCTCCCTACAGACACATGTATAAACAGAGACCTCTGAAAGCCACCTCCTTAGAATCAGGCACACAGACAAACATAAGCTGCAATCAATAGTTTGATAAGAGCTTACTGCAGTAGTATTTGTATGCCAGAAATGAGGCAATGAGGTTTTCAGATGCCCAACTGAATTACAATGGCTAGAACAAGGGTCATTGGCAACTGTTTACAGATAAGGAAACTGAGAGGTCTATCACAATGCCACCTGCTCCAGACCTCTTGTGTGCCATTCTAGTACTTTTCACCCAACTTCAGCTTCTCCAAAAAAGAAGACTGCATGAAAGAGAATCTGGTTTGTTCAACTGGACTCTGTCCTTGTATTTAGACATGCAGAGAAGAGTTGCAGGCTGGCAGCCATCATGGGCTGGCCTATTATTCTTGCCCACACAACTGTGGAAGTGGAGGTTTTACTTGACAGAAAAGTCCAGCTTTGGGATACAGTAAGCCCCATGCTAGAGGAGTCAGATCCTGAGGATCGGACAAGAGACTCTAATAATAAACACATTATCCCCTTCCAATTCTTTCTGGCATTTAACCACAGGGATGTGGGACCCTCTGCACAGAGTAATTCTAGCTGGCTAGGTTAGGTTCCTGGCATGAGGGCAGCCCTAAATTGTGATTACAGTAGAGGATTTTCTTTTTAAATCATTAATTCCAAGCCTAGAGAGAAAATGGGGAAATACCAACACCCTTCAAACAAAAGTCACAGCAAAGATCTCTGGGAAGAGATTTCTATGTCAGTGAGTGTGCTGGGTATGGAACTTGTGATTTACGGGGCAAGACTTATTTAGAAATAATTTCTTAAGTTGCTTTGACTGTCTTTTTGGTGTGGTTTTTGGTATTCAATTCAGAAAGATAAACAAAATTCCAAGATGCATAAAATTAGCAAAGGTAAGGAACAAAGCAATAACTTCCCCAAATGTGCCCTTGGTTACAAGATAATATAAATACCAAGTAAAGTTTAAAGTACGTAGCCTTTTCCCCTAAGCTATTAGATCAGGATTAATGAACTAAATAGACTGTTATGTATAATATGTATAATACAATCCCCTTTTATTAATAAAATCCCTGAATCTACGGATTTCACCTCTTGACTTTCCAATATATTTCTTCTTGTAGCTCAACTTGCACAGTTCTGCCCCCTGGGACCTCCAATAATTGACTCACCAGTCCTTACCCCTCCACTTCCACTTTCCATTTCTATGGCCCCTCATTCTACTCACCTCAGTGAAAATACCCTCAACCCTGCCCCTTCCACATATAACACACATAACACATAGTCCACTCATAACACTACACCTTGGCAGAATCCAATTTGTGGCTTATTCTATGCCTAATCTAAGCTTAATTAATGCACACTAACTACAAAAGCGTCCTGGGATAGGCAAACTTTCTACGTTTACCTAATCAGCACACTCCTCTACTTTTCTAGACAATAATCTCATCCATTCTCCTCGTCTCTCAAGCCTCCAATACCTTGATACTTTCACTTTCAGCTCATGGAGAGAGCACTCCCTCTCACCCTCACATCCACCTATCACTCACCTGCATCTGCCCTCCGAGCCCTGAATTGCCCACGCTCCCACCCAAGGCTAACTTTTATCCTTGAGTCCTAGGTCCTGTACTCCTTCCCCAACTCAAGGACACTGCTCCTACAGGCGTCTCCACTCTCTACATCATCAGGTTTTCCCCTCTACTGAATGATTTCTCCCAAACGAACATACTTTAAAAGTTCCATTTAAAAAAAGAAACAACAGCAAAAACTTCCTATGACCAACTTGTCTTATAGCTACTATCTCACTTCTCTGCTCACCAGTATTCTTTATAGCAAAGCTTCTTAAAAGATCTGTCTATACTCACTGCCTGCCCTTCCTTTTCTCCATCTTACTCTTTGACTGACTCAGCTTTCAACTCCACAAATCCAAGAGAACCACATGTCAGGTTCAATGACTTCCATGATGCCAAATCAGGAGATCATTTCTTGGTCCTTAATTTATTTATCATTGGCACCTGACACGTGATCAATCCCCTTGTGAAAAACTTTCTTTATTTAGTCTCCTAGGTTCTATTCTTCCTGATTCTCCTTCAACCTTACTAGCTATTCCTTTTTAATCTTCTTAATGACTACTCACTCTCCCCAAATCCAAATGTGTCAATGACCCAAGGATCCATTCTTGGACTTCCCTTTGCTATCTAAACTTTATACGTCGACATCTTGTCCAGTTTCGGCTTTGAAAACCAGGGATATCTGTGATATGCTGGAACTGACCTGTACTGGTTCATAAGAACTAACAGTATGCATCTTCCCTCAACTACAAGATCAGTGATGTCATGTTGGCAGCTTGAAACTGACCATGGTAGGAGTATTTACCCCATGGAAGTCAGCAAGTGCTATAATTTAGGGCTTCCCCTCCCCTCTCCATCACTCTGAGTGCTGGTTAAATATTTACAGCACACCAATGAACTACATGTTCTCATTATCAAGTTTAAGTCTCCAGCTTGGATCTCATTCAACTGCCTACTTGATGTCTTGAATATCTAATAGACTTCTCAGACTTAGCATATTTAAAATGGAATGTTTGATTTTTTTTCTCTCCAAACAGATTCTTCCTGTTGTCTTCCCCACTTCATTAAATGACCCCTTCACTCTGAGGCCAAAATCTTGAGATCAACCTTGAAGTTTCTCCTCCTTTCACATCCAATCTGTCAATAAATCTGTATAAAAGAATCAAAGCACTTAAATCTCGTACTTGGAATTCTGCAAAAGCCTCCTGAATGGCTTTTCTGTTTCCATCTGGCCCAGCTACAATCTATCATCCATACAGTGGGCAGACTTAACTTCAATCTAAAACTTCTAATGCGTCTTTCTCACTCCAAATAAAGTCCAAAGTCCTCCTTCCCATGACCTAAAACACAACAGAGGATCTGGTTCTGCTGGTCCCTCTCTGATTCTCACCTCCAACTCTCTCACTTGCTCATTCTGGCCTCCTTGCTAGTCCTGTAAAGTGCCAATCACATTTGAGAACGCACAGTGATAATAGATATATGCAAATCAAATATGAACCTGAGCCAATCAGAGGCTTTCCTGGTAACTTCACATGCCTAGGAAAGTCCACGAGGGTTCCCTTGAGCTGTCTAAGGGCTGGATCAGCTCCTGGCTGAAAAGACAGCACAAGGGTCAGGGGTGCCTAAGATCACACAAGCCAGTCAGGCCTCTAATAACCCATCTCCTCTTTCTGTGTAGTCTTTCTAGACTGTGAAAGTGATGAATTGATTTTTATGAAAGTGATCACCTTCAGAAAAACCTTGTAGGTTTCTACAGCTACTTCGTTTCCTCCTCTTTCATCTCTTTCCATAGACGTTATTGGTTTTTTGAGAATGGCACCCATTCACCTCCCAGGATTCCATTCACCTCCATTTCTCTCTCATGGAGGTCTCTGGTTGGTGACGCACTTTCTACAGACTATCCCACACTGTTGTTTCAGCTTAGTAAGCAGTACCCAACATAACAAGGCCACGGAGACACTCCATCCACTTACTGGAACAATGCCGGAACTCGAAGCGGATGTGCGCACCCCTGAATTTATCCACGGGGATAGGAAGTTTCAGCAGCTCGGACCACCTGGGGCTGTTGTTATGATAAAGCACAAAAGAGTGGTACTCGCTAGCCGGTGGCTCTCCAGAGCCGAAGGATATAAAGTCCTGACAAAGGAAACACGCAGGTTAAAGACAGCTTTATTTCAAGATGATTTTGGAAGGAGTAGAACAATTGCTTTGCTGTGTCTGTGTGCTCCCAAAACAGCACTTAATGTGAAATTACGTCCTCAGTCCTCTTCAGGGCTGTTTTTGCACCTGTTTCTGCAGGCAGGCTGTGTTTGGTTCATCCTGAGGCTGGTCTCCCAGGGCCTAATTGCTCAAAGGTGGACCTCAGCGACACATGCTAGCTGAGCAACTGCGGGCCCAACTCAGAGTCAACTACAAAGCAAAATTCTCAACCAGCCATAGCCAAAAGCCTTCTGTGCCTTCCTATAAAACTCAGTAAGCCCCGGGGCTCCCATGAAATATTTCTTCCACAAAGGAATCTGAAATGATCACCCTGATCAGCAGTACTCTAATCTCCACATCCTATTTTGGTCATAATGAAAATACATAGGATTAAATATGGGCTCAGACACTAAAGAATGCCTGCAATGTGGGAAACCAGGGTTTGATCCCTGGGTAGGGAAGATCTCCTGAAGAAGGAAATGGCTACCCACTCCAGTATTCTTGCCTGGAGAATCCCATGGACAGAAGAGCCTAGAGAGCTACAGTCCATGGGGTTGCAAAGAGTCAGACATGACTGAGAGACTAAAAAAAAAAAAAAAAACCAACTGCACAAAGAAAAAGTATACCTCTCCAAAACTATAACAGATGAAAGAGAAAAAAATGAAATGGGATAAAAATGCTGCATTTAAGGAGTAGCTGCTATGAGGATGTTTTTGACATGATTAATTAAACAAACTGAAAGCTTATTTTCCTTCTTTTCATGATTAAACACAAACAAACAAACTACATGGGGGTGGAGAAGAAAAATAAGATTGAAAATATTGCAAATCATAAGTTAACTGATCGCACTAAAGAAGAACCCAAGGCAAGGATGTGAAATTGTTTTACCAAAAAGAATTCCGCATTAACATACCTTCAGGGTCTGGCCACTACTCTCTACAATGAACATCGTAACTTCCACGTTTCTGGCCACACTCTTTCCTCCTTTCTCAAATTCTCCCCTTTCTATAGTGATATATAAATCATTCCGCATTTCACCTAGCAGGAGAGGAAAATTGAAATGGCATTTTATATATATAGTAGGAAGTATAATAAGAGTACTCTATTAAGGAAAAGTTTAGTTCACAAAACATAGTGTTATAGCATACAACATACAATATTTATACTTCTATAATAAGATCCTAACCCTTACTGCCAACATCCAAGAAAAGCAAAGGCCGGCCTCTGCTAGCTTGAAATCAGCAATATTGAAAATGTACATTTAGGAGGGAAATAAAGGACCTGGGTAGAAAGGTGCTGTCAAGTTTCACCATTTTTCAATATTTCCTTCATCTCATTTATGAGGTGTGATTACAGAATGACAGCTGAGAAGGGGTGGTTCAAAGAAACTAGTCTCAATACTTTACAGTCAAGGCAGTTAGAGAAGAAGAAATACTTAAGTGGAAGAAAATGATAGGACTGCAAAGGGTACAGTTACAATTTAAATCTTCTAAAATTAATGGACGAAATGATCTCACTCCTGGAAGAAGCCAGGTTAGTGCTTTACAAACACAGATGTAGAATAATTCAGGCATACAGAGACACTTGGCTTAATATTTCTTGCCATCAAGCTATAAAACAAATGAGAAAGGCCCTGGATTCAAACTGACATAGTCTATGTACACATATATCATCTATTGTTTTTTCTCCACTGGCTATTTATGAAACTTGAATTTTTTTTCATTTTGCCCCTTTCTTACTACTGCAAGAAAAAAAAAAAGAAATTGTATGCCAAATAGCAAAGAGAGGCAAACACCTGCTTTTATTTCTCCTTGACAACCTGCTCTTATTTCTCCTGTAAGAATTAAATTAGGGGTAGGCAATAAGTGGATATGGACATGAGAAGTAAGTCAACAATGTGTGACAAGAAAGTTTTTGAAAGTAAATATTGGTGAGGTCAGCAAGGTTGAATGTACTTTTACTTAACACAGCTTCCAAACATTTGAACACTCAAAAGCAATACTGCTTTGTTCTAATAAAAAACAAAAAAAAAAAAAAACCCTCTCCTTAAGAAAGCAAATCACCAGAAGGAGCAATAACCATACAAATGTACCCACATTTCGGAAATTTATCAAACTTCCTGACCGAAATGTATATAAGAAAGTACCCTAGCTTTCAAAACCATGGGGGAATACCAGTGTGCATGGTCTCCTTCCTCCACAAAGGCCGGCTTTTAATAAGAGCATCATTTGCAAATGACCTGTCTGACCAGGAAACAGATGGGCCACAAAAGGGAGACACTGAATAAGTTCTAAAAAAGATGAAATCTCACTCCCTCTTCAGAAAGTGTATGTGAGGAATACATTAATGAAAACAACTGATACAGTGGTATCTGCCTTATAAATTTCTCAGTACTCTCATGTAGCTCCTACAAATCAACTTGAACAGTCAATGAACTTGGAACTCTGGGAGAAAAGCAACATATTTCAACACATATAAAATTACATATGCATGCTTTCAAAGTTTTCTTGTTTAACCATCTCAATTTTTTTAAAAATTAGGAAACTATGACCCCACAAATTTCACAAATTCTCTACAGTTTTATAACCTGATTCATTTAATTTCTATATATTTATCATTAAGTTTATATATATTTATTTATATATATATATATATTCATACATACACACATGCATTCTCAACACTATTTATTTTAACAATTCCAATGCAGAATAAATAAGCTCACAAAGTATGTCCTCCAAGTTCACCAGTTTCAACTCAAAACAGGACTGCAGCGCTAATGGTCTGCACATGTGCTATTTCAACAACTGAGGGGAAATTCTTGACAATACTGTTCCAATGAACAGATCTGCCAGGTGAAAAAACAATACAAAAATCAAGGTACTTTAGAACACACACCCACACACACAACAGTAGGAAAATTCCTTTGCTTCTGGAGTAGGTGACATATGATGAGTGGCTGAGGTGACACATAGACTATAAAACACACACTGATTAATGGGAAGTGTAGCTCCAGGGGCTTTTACCTTAGAAATTTCTCATAATGAGTGATTAGCTTGTCCAAACCACATGGGGATTAACTGTCCTGCAAAATGAAGCATAAGTGTTTCTTGGGAGGGGGACTTCCAACTCTCATCTATTGGCAGGGCCAGTAATTCTGGCTTAAGCAAAGTGGAGGGAGGGAGGGAGGCCTGCAAGACAACCTGTTTCTCCCTGTATGCAGGCTGGGCCTTGCAGAGGAACAGGGATGGAGGGAGAGTAAAATACCACCAGGGTGGTGAAATTCTTCCTCCATGTATTCATTCAGCAAATAGACTGTGAGCACCTACTATGTGTCAGATGTTATCTTAAGTCCAGCAGACTCAGCAATGAACAAAGCAAAGATGCCTTCACTGCAGAGCTTAGATTCTAGCAGGAAAAGATTTTGAACAAAGAAGAAAAACACAGAGCACACAGAATAACGCCAAGAACTATGGATCAAAGTGAGACAGACAAGGGGACAGGGTGCTGAATGAGGCAGAGGGGCTGTCCCCTGAGAGGAGCCCTCACTAAGAGGATGAGGCATCCGGGGATGCAAGGCATGTTAAACCTCCAAAGGGAGGTTTAACATGCCCTTCACTTCCCAAATGGACCCCTGCAGTTGGTTTTGCTTGTAACCGAGCTGGATCCTTCTCTCTGTCCTGAGTTCAAATAAGCCTAAAGAATGTAGGGTCTCAGGAAGACTTGAATAAGGAGATCTGGATTCCACCCTTCCCTGCCACTGTCTCCTGTCTGTGACATTAGTCTAGACAGGGCAAGATAAACCTCGGGCCTCAAGCATTTATGTCACTCAAGTGGGATGCAGTAAAGGTAGAGGTAGGGGTGGGAGAGCCAGTAGGAGGGACAAGGCTACTTTATTATGTTATGCTTCCTTTTCTGTAGAATTTCTAACATACAACACACTCATATATAAAAACACCTTATACATACATTTTACTTTTCTGTTCTTTAACTGTCACTGTCCCTGAAACCCTCTTCATCTTTCCCCAAACTTTTAAAAAAATTTTATTTTTATTTTGGAAAGTTTTTAGACTGAAGTAAGATTTCTCTGAAAAGGGAACACACTACAAGAACACTTCTCCCGGATGACATTCTACATGTGTCCACCCCCCTCAGGAATCCATAGCTTGCTGTGTTCTAATACTGCAAGGTGCCGTTTTGCCAAAATATGTCGAAGGATAAAGTTGAAACAAGTGTTAATTAAAGTTAATACATTTCAGGCTGACTCTAGAGAAAGCCAACCTAAAGAAAACTAATAAGCCCAAATGGTGTTAAGAAAGCAAATCCTGGGTAATTAAGAGAGAAATCATAAGGTGAGTATTGAAATGGAGTCACAGCACCAGTCATGAAAAGCTACTTGCCTGACAATGTTTATTAACACCTTGTACCTCTTAAATTTATTACTCTGTAAATTTGACGGGCTTGACACTTTCCTCTGTTTCACAGGCCCTGTTCTGCTGGTAAGCCTTCAAAATATCACTGTAGATGAGAAAAAGATAAGGCCACAGCAGTAGGAACAAATTCAAAAAGAGTTCAGTAACTACAATCAAATGGGGTTGATTTGTAGCTTATCCTCAATGGGCAACAGGCTTTTTTTTAATCAGTATCCATAAACCTTGATGCTGTCCTATGAATGCCTTGGATAAAGTCACAGAGGACAAGCTCATCACACCAAGTAAAACACTGTCCTCAGCCATAGGGGCTAGTCCAGGGCCTCCTCTGTGCTAGACAATTGTTGTCACTTTTGGAGCTGGAAAATAAGTTTCTGTACTTCTTAAAAACAAAAGACCATATATAAATGACTATAGGATTTTTGTGAACTTAGATTATGATGATGGTGCTTAGTAGTAGATAGACAGTAGTCAGGTATTTTGCCAAGTACTGTAAGTAGAATATCTCATTAAATCCTCACATTAAAACATCATTAAAACCTTAAACAAGGTCCTATTATTTCCATTTTACAGATGAGGAAACTGAAGTACAGAGATTAAGAAACATGTCCAATGTATTATCAGTATCTCTGCTTTACCCATGAAAATGTAATTCAACAGGTAAGAACATTCATCAAATAAGCTAGCGCAATTTAGCCTTTGCTTCCAAAAGACCAATGCCCTAAGCAAGGAAGATATTAGTCCCACCCTAATTGGCCAGACTAGTTGTCAAGCAATGATTTCATTTCTAGGAACATCCTTCAGAATCATCAGAAGAAATACAGCCCTGCTGATCCCGTGATCAGAGAGACCCGTGCAAACTTTTCATCCCCAGAACTGTAGTCCATTTGCATAGTTTTAAGCCACTCCACGTGTGCTGATCTGTTACAGCAGTCATAGGAAATGAATACAACATGCCATGCACACTTAAACTTCCATTACCTCAGGACATCTTCAAGGAGGGGACAGAGCAAGGGGCAAGGGCAAGGTTTCCACGTAACTGAAATCAAAGCAAACCACATACAAGGAAAATTTATGCATGGGATGAAAAATTAACTTTGGATTTCTCACATGGAGTATGCTTGAGTAAAACATACCTGGTGTTTTGTTTCTGTTTTATTTTAAAAGAGTACACTGAAATGTTGAACTTTTGAGGGGGTAGATTTTTAACTTTTTTTTGATGACTATCAAACAAGCAGTGGCAAATGATAGCAACAGCAGTCATGAGGGGCTTTCCAGGCAGCAGTGCAGAGAAAAAGGAGCAGGAACAGGGTGCCCTTTACACTCTAGGACAACACATGCGTCTCTGATAGTAGCAGTTAGGGAAAGTCCTATACCCATGGGCAGTGGGGCATGTCAGTTTACCAATCTGGGGGTACCAGCCTCTCCCCCAGTATGAACTTGGGCGGGGATCCACCCTTAGGGTGACACAATAGACTCTTAGCCTCTCTCTCTCCTTGGTCACTGTGGCATTTGTTGGTTGACAGACCACTGTCCCCTTGGTAAGGGGATCAACAGGGGGTTCAGATTTAAACAGACCAGTTGCAACTGTGTGATGTAGAGGTCCATGACTTGGCCTAGGGGGTGGTGAATTTTAGTTAGATTTAGGATATATTTTTTAGAGAAGACCAATTCAAGTAGGTTCCCAACTCTTTCTCTAAAAGAATTGAGGCAATTCCATCTGGTGATGTACATATCTCTTCCAGTAAGTGGTAAATAATAATATATATATTTAAAAGAATAAAACTATGTATCTTCTTAAATGGGAGGCAAATATATCTACAACATTTTTCTTTCCCCAGTCTTGTAAATCATTATCTAGTCAACTTTGACCAAATAGAAATTTGACTTACCTGAACTGTTGCCTAAAAAATGAAAAGGAGGCTTACTCTTGAAGACACTTGGAAAATAAATCTTGAAATCACTATCACAGCTACTATTGCTGGCAACCATTTAAAACATGGGCTCTGTTAGTAATTTTTAGCAAGGTCTTCTAGTCTCCAAATTTCAACCCTTCATGGCCCCATCATTCTACAACTTTCCCATAAGTCCTTGTAGGATTAGGAACTTTAAAGATGTACTAAAAGTGAATGCACTGGAAGGTATTAATTACAGTGGCTCAGTGGTAAAGAATCCACCTAGCAATGCAAGAGGCTCAGGAGATGTGGGTTTGATCCCTGGGTCAGGAAGATCCCCTGGAGGAGGAAATGGTAACCCACTCCAGTATTCTTGCCTGGAAAATCTCATGGACAGAAGAGCCAGGTGGGCTACAGTCCATGGGGTCACACAGAGTTGGATGCAACTGAGCCACTGAGCATACACACACAACAATCAGGGACAGTTTTACTGGTTGATCCGTGAGAATCCCACAGACAGAGGAGCCTGGTAGGCTATAGTCCATGGGGTTGCAAAAAGTCAGACATGACTAAGCAACTAACACACACACATCCATGAGAATGAGTCTCCAGGAGAGTGTGTACAGGTAGGGAGATAAAGCATGGAGACCAGGATGACTGCCTAGAAAGAATCACAGACTCAGAATAAGAGTGGACCCCTAGGGTGGGAGGAGGGCATGGCCTGATCGCCCATGACGTTCCTGACACATCAGCCGACTTTGTTCCAAAACGTCTGGCGGGTGGAAAATCAGTCCTTCCTGGTATTCAGCAAAGGCTCAAGCTCTGCTTTGTGCAGTCTGTTAAGACATTTAGAGCTTGGCTGTTCAATCCTGTAACCACTGCCACATGTGGCAACTGAGTCCTTGAAATGGGACTTGGCTGAAAAGAGATGTGCTGTAAAGTGTTAACAGTTACCAGCCTTCAAAGACTTAAGTTGAAATAGCATAAAATAACTCATCACAAAATTTTTATATGGGCTATCTATGAAAAGGATATTTTGGATGCATTGGGTTAAAAAAAAAAACGGTAAAAATAAATTCAACCCCTTCCTCCCAACCTTTTAAAAAGTGATTACTAGAAAAGTTAGTTATATTTGTCGCTTGTATTATATTTCTACTGGAGAGCACTGATTGAAACATTTTCAGTGCCCTCCCTCTCATAAGCTCAGAGACCAGACCATGGAACTTTCTGCAGGGTTATTTGGTTTGTAAGTGGCAGTAATGGAGCTTCATAGAGAAAAACTTTTCTTCTTTGGAAATTCTGTAGGGCTAAGAAATAAAGTGCTGAATGACTGACCCTTAGTAACAGAAGGCTTCGTGACAAGGCAAAAACATAGTGGCAGGTTGCCTCTTTATACCAGGTGACATTCCAGAGATCAACCGTGTAAAAGACAGACCAAGACTTGAATCTCTATTTCCATGTTTTTCCCATTCCAAAAAGAGTTTGGCATTGATGACACTCTGTGACCCTCAAGAAAAGTTGTGTGTATGTTCTCATTAGTGTCAGGACCACAGATAATTCATTCTGCAGAAAGGCAGTGACTAAGTTAATGAAGGTCCTGTAGGTATAAACACATGCCTCACCCATCCTGACCTCTATCAGAACCCAAATTAACCCTGAAGGACAAGTCTAGAAAAAGAAAAAAAAAACATCACATTAGCAGACTGTCAGCACAACACTGGGATCAGAAATGCTGTTCACATACATTTTTCTCATTGAAAACTCAGCTCAAGTTTTCATCAAAGCCACAAGTGAGAGAGTGAAAATTAATTGGCAAGTCAAAATTCTGAAAATAAAGAAAAACAAAACAACGGCTGTTACGTTTGCCAATGTAAAACATTCCATTGAGTTGTAAAGTTGCTTTCTTTTCAGCTGTTTAAGTTTATACACACATCTCTCCATCCAATTTGTAAGACTCAGAAGCCAAAGAAGAAAAAAAATGAAAGAAGAAAAGGAAAGTGCTTTAAAAAAATCTCTTGCAGTCTCAGGCACTGTAGACATGTGTCTGGGAAGACTGAGTCCCTGGTCAGCGTCAACCCTGCCATTATAACGTGGTGCAGGGAAGGGACAGAAGCAAGCCCGATTCCACAGTAAGTTCATTTCCATCATTAAAGCCAGACAAGAGCTGCATGAGCAGAGCACATCCCAGACAACTATTCAGCCAGTGAAGTGTCATGTTGCTTGATATTTTTTCCATTTCTCAATGATACTGCTCGGAGACCAAGCTGAGGAATTCTTCTAGCAGCTGGCTGCATTCTGTTCTAAAATATGTTTTTTATATTAGATTTACCCATCAATTTGCTTCCCAGTGGGATGAAATTTTTTTCTTTTCTGCTAAAGAGGAAATACTAGCTATTTATAGCAACTGAAGGAAATAATGAATGGTTCCAAGAGCCAGTGGATAACATGCCATCAAGTAAACAGTGCTATAAACAGTCATTTTTGACAATAGTAACAGGAGATGCTCAGGCAGACTGGGTCTTTAGGCTGGGTCAGGTCATCTCAGGAAACTTTCAAGGCTGTTCTCTTAGCCCTCCCTACATGAGTGATTTCCATCAGGAGATCAAATGCCACAGCAATCAATACCGGTCAGTTTCTGCAATGTGTTAGGTCTTTATGGACAACAATCCCACCACTAAGTCTTACAGCTGTAATAGGGGGCCTTGTCCGAAGCAATATTCATGGTTTGCTTTTTACACATGGGATTTAAACAGTGACTTAAAGGATCTTATTTCTAAAAATACTGTCAACAATTTGAGACTGTTTGGTTTTTCTATTTTTTTTGCTTGGTTGTGTAGAGTAGGATGCAGGACCCTACGAAAGACTATCACTTGGCATTTACTTTGATAGTGTGAATTTCCTTAATCTCTACCATTTCCACTCAAACATTTTTTTGGATTCTCTTTTGGAGTCTCTTTTGGTTGCTAATATAGATCTGATGTATATACACAAATAGAACCAAAAATACATATGGTATTTGCATATGGCTGCTTAGTTACATACACATATACCTCTGGTGGAAAATCCTCCAAGAAAGGCTACCATTGCTTAATAAATGTTCTTATCAAAACTGTAAGGATTTCTCCTAAGTGACTCCAGTAATACTTCCCACCAAAGGGTAAAATATTTTCTGTATTCAACTTCAGTTTTCCTTCTTATTATGGTCATAATGAAAAGCAGGCATGGTCCCCGCAAGTTATCCTTCCTGATGTGAAAAAAATGTAAAGATTAAAAAAAAAGAATTAAGTATCTCAATTTATTCTTCAGCATGGCCCATTTGAACTCTTTGAAGCTGACAGTTTGAAACTTTCTCAAGTGCCAAAAGGAGACAAAATAGCCATATTTCATCATGTGGTTCATTCTGAGTCACTTACCAGGCATAATAATATTAGAAAAACCCAACTTCCTGGTGATGGATACTCCATGAGAAAATACTGATGAGTATTCCCTTCTGATTTGTTCAATGTCTCCATGCAAGAGTTGTAAAGAAACAGCTAAACCTAAATTAAATGAGAACAGAATTAAAAACAGAAGGACAGAAATAGCATGAACAGAAACTGAAATTGTTTCATCAAGTCCAAATCTATGGTGTCACTGTTTTAAACTGAAGATTAACATTCAGACAAAATTAACAGAGTCTATAAGACAAATATCTAGAGAACAGTTTTCCAATTTGATCACCTTAGTTTATCTACTTATAAAGAAGCTTCCTAGAAGCTGGAAAAAACTTGGAACAGAACACTAAGAAGAGGAAGTTTGACTGCTAGTCCCAACACCCACTTCTCCATTCCCTGCCTGACAGAAATACCCCTGCACCAAACTCATCCTTGCAAATGGCAGGGGCTATTCAGCCCTGGAAGACACTGATCTTAAAATGTGAGTTCTAATTTCTTAAAAACTCTATGAAGTCTGTGAATAATTACTTATCAAATACCATAAAGATGAGCACAAATCTAAAGACATTAAAATTCAAGGATTTTAAGGATATCCATAGCTGTTTCTTTTTTTTTTTAAGTAAGAAAGGTGATTAAAATGAAACCAACATTGTATTCTTAATATTATATATGGTACAAACTCATAATCACATTATTTTCTACTGAGCATATATAGCAAGATACAGGCCATTTTGATAAAAAGAAATTTAGTCAGTAAAATGGCAAAAATTATCTTTTTTGGTTAGCCCAATTATAGTGACAGGACCACAGTAGAATATATTGAAGACACTAAACGACACACTTTTCATACCTAATTTTTCCAAATCTCAGGCAAGAGCTAGAGAAAAAAATTAATGTCTTATCTTTTTAAATATGCTTCCCTATTTTCAATATGCTGCTTCTCTTTAAGCCTTTTAGTTCCCTGTTCCTTTTTCCCTTTATTATTTTAAAACAAAGAAAAAAATAAGCCCATCACTTACATTAGTAATAGAAAATGAAACCAGTCAAAGGTGACTTATTTTTTTAAAAAAACTTTCAATCATCATTAACCTGAACTCAAAATGAATGTGGATGATGGAATCAAGAGGATGATCAAAACGTACTCTAAAAATCCTCCATCTACATTCTTATCACCCTTTTCACTCAATAACACCCTTACTATTGTGCCACTTGTTACTCCCAATTCCTACCACACAGCACTATGAAGTTAATTGCCAATATACACCATAAGCCTGGCAACAATCAGGCTGGGATGAAACAAACGTGTAAGACATTTGCCATGCATCTAGATCAGGATCTCCCTTCAGTAATAAGAAACAACAACAAAAACAGCGCTCTGTTGGCTTGTTTGCTTGCTTTTCAGAGTGCATAAAACATCAGAAAAATTTGCCTTTTTAAAAATAGCATTATGCTCAGAGAGAAGATGAAGCCTTTCCTGGGGTTCAAACCAAACCAGGATGAGGCAGCGATGTAAGCAAAGAAGGCCAGGATGCGGCTGCATCACCGAGTCCTCTGGCGTGTGGATCTAATAGAGTGTTGGTGTTGGAAAGTTGTTGTGACAATTAGATTAAATCTGGCAGGCACTCAGGAACTTTAATTAAATCTTCATCTTATTTTTACCTAACTATCTTTTAGCTCACTCCCCACCCTCACCCCACATGAGCTGGGTGACTGAGGCGATAAAATGGAGGAGCATCAGTCCTCCAAAAGCCACATGGGATGAAGCAGGGGAGAATGAGAAGTCTGGATGGTTTGACGGTGACAACTTTGATGTGGTACTATTGGCTCCTTTTAAAACCCAGAGGCAAAAAAAAAAAAAACCACCCAGAGGCAGGCGAACAAAGATAAACTAACACATGTTGTAATCCATCTGTCTCAGCAGCTATTTCTTCTTGACTCACGCTCTTCACTACCCCCACCTCATTACTGGTGTCTCTGTTCTCCTCCTACTTCTGTCCTTTTGCCTTCAAAACATTCGCCCACACTGTCACCATCATCATGAACATCATCAGGGTCTGGTATTTGTATAATAGCAGTGTGTGCCAGATAGGGTATGTAATAACAGTCTCTCCTGCTGGGTAGAACACTGTTCCAGTCCTAGGGTATACTATCAGCAATGCTTTCAAATAGAGAATCACATGCACTAAATTCCTGAGGTCCTGTGATGTTTTGCAAGAGCAGGTCATTTTATTAGAACTTCTCATCAAAGGACCTGATCAGAGATACTAGCAACCTTATATGGTATGTATAAAGTAAAAAGAGAAAAGAACTAAACAATAATGAAAAAACAAACAGATCCTGCTATTCAGGGCAGAGGTTGGAGGAAGGAAAAATAAGACAATGAGAAAATAAAGGCATTCAATCAATGTGAACGTTAAAGACAATTGAACATAGGAAATAGAGAAAAAATATGTTTTCAGGGAAGACACAGATGTAAGCATGAACAAAAAAAAATGCCTCAATGTTCTCCAGACAGCCAGAGTCATAGAGATGAGAATGCAAGAGGATAGAGAGGATCCACGTAGGAGACAGTGGACAGAAAGGAGCCAACGAGGCAATGAGGAAGTGATGAGGGAAAATATACAAATAGTATGGAGAAAAAAAACACACATTCTAGGCTTGGATGCATCCTAACATTTGGTTAGAAGACATAGTAGTTCTCAATCTGAAGGTTTAGAGAGACACAGATGAAAGCCCAGGATAACGATTTCATTTGTTTGGCCAACTGATATCAATTTGCAGGGAGGGCAAGGTATTGTTGAAGTGACCCAATTTCTTCAGAATGAAGAACTCACAGAGAATTAAGAACTGGGAAGGTCAGGTGGGCCAAGGGCTTGACCACAGTGTACTTGGCTCTTCCCAAATCATCTATTCGATTTCCATAAAAAATCACAACGCATGACAAACTTCAAAGAGTGGCAAGTCAAAGAAACATGATATAATAGTGAGTCCACAGGAACCAGCCCACCAAGAGCCATAGCAATATTATTTATTTTTCAATCAGGGAAACTCCTGATCCTGTTTTTCTAGTGGTTCTTAATTATGCTGACTACAATGAACAGGTTGGACAAATGACTCACTAGATAATAAGAAATATGGTATTAACACTAAGAAACTATTCTTCACTATAAAGGAGAGACTTATCAAATATTCACCCATTATGATGACCTGAGAATTCATCCTCTCCTTTCAGGAGAGTAGCTTAAGATGTAAGGCATGTTCACAGAGCAGTATTTTCTTCCTATTCTTTCTTGTCAGATCGCTTTACTATCCTCACCTTACCCCTCTCTCTAGGGCTGAAGCAACTTCTAAAATTCTCTCTGCACACTTTAACTTACTGCGACCACAATTTAAACTGTCCACTTTGGGCAAGGCAATAACTTCCAGCTTGAGAGGAGGATGAAAGGCAAGATATAAGGATGTATTAATATATAATAGGGTTCCTGCTCCATAGAAGCTGATCATCCAATAATGAAAGACACACACACGTAAATAGAATATGAAGCAGTATGGGTTAAATGCATGATAGGAATATTTAGTAAAGAAAAATTATGACTGATGGAATTTGAAATTTCAGGAAAGAATTTTTATGACAACCAATAAAATTAGGTTAAATTTTTAATTTTACAAATAGATCAATAATGTCCCACAATCAGTTTTTTTCTGGCACTTAACATAAATACCAAAAAGGAAATTTCTAAGGAAAAAATGTTACTCTTAATAGAAGAAACAAGCATTAAGCTAAACTTTAAAAAATCACTCTAGATATTTAAGACCCAATTATAAAGATTTTTAAACTAATTTTAAACAGAGATGTAAGTCATTAATTAATAATGAATCTAGAATCACAAAGCAACATTTTTGCAAGATCAAATAGCTTATGGAGCAGAACTACAGGAGAGAAAGGCTTAGTATCTGTTAAACCAAATGTGCTTGATTCTTCGGGAACTCTAATTTCTTAGGAATTGAAGCTAATTCACTCTGTGAGATGATTTCTTTTAAAATTCATGAAATTCTGCACTTTTACATAAAATGGCAAGCACAGCAAGGTTTATTAAGTAGCAGGCAAAACTGATTTTAGACTAGATCAACCATTTTGCCACCAATGAACCAAATAACACATAGCAACTGTATAACAATGCAAACACGGAAATACTGGCAAATATATTTGATAAATACGCGTTGTGATTAAGTGGGCAGTTTAAGGAGCCTGTCATACAGCATCATGACTCTGCCTCAGTGTTAACTTCTCTGTGCTTTCTTTGGTTTTCACATTCGTAAAATAACTCCGTAAAATACTTTGGGCAATGCCTGCTATAAAGGAAGTGCTTAAAAATGTTAGCAGCTACTACGGCAACTACCACTGCTGTTATAATCACATGATTGCTTCTCTTTCCGTTGTGCTCATTTGCTATTTAAGCAGTACACTAATTTTTCTTCAGTGACTTCTTCTTTAAAATAATTTAAGAAATTCTATTTATTTCTTTCTCACCAATAAAACTAAGCACCAAGAGGACAGCTCAGTTCAGTTGCTCAGTCATATCCGACTCTGCGACCCCAGCTCAGCAGCCCAAGCTTCCCTGTCCATCAGCAACTACCAGAGCTTGCTCAAACTCATATCCATCGAGCTGGTGATGCCATCCAACCATCTCATCCTCTGTCATCCCCTTCTCCTCCTGTCTTCAATCTTTCCCAGTATCAGGGTCTTTTCCAGTGAGTTATTCTTTACATCAGGTGGCCAAAGTTTTGAGCCTCAGCTTCAGCATCAGTTCTTCCAATGAATATTAAGGACCAATTTCCTTTAGGATGGACTGGTTGGATCTCCTTGCAGTCCAAGGGACTCTCAAAAGTCTTCTCCAACACCACAGTTCAAAAGCATCAGTTCTTCGGTGCTCAGCTTTCTTTATAGTCCAACTCTCACATCCATACATGACCACTAGAAAAACCATAGCTTTGACTAGACAGACCTTTGTCGACAAAGTAATGTCTCTGCTTTTTAATATGCTATCTAGGTTGGTCACAGCTTTTCTTCCAAGGAGCAAGTGTCTTTTAATTTCATGGCTGCA